TCTATTATTATTTATGTATAATATTAATTTAAGGTTAATAAGGTTAACAATTCAGGCGGTTTACTAAGATATTTAAATTTTACAAACAACTGTTTCCTGCGGTTATACACAAATAATACCATCTATACAAATTCCTTATAAGATATTCAGTGAACAATGCACAAACTCCACCATACCTACTCTAAGCTACGAAATACTCTGAAGACTACCTTATCTAATTCGATAATATAGACATTTTATTTTTATTCATATATTTATACTTTGTGATGTAATAAACATTCAAATTCATTTTTTAAATAAATTCGCGAGCGCTTAAGTTATTAGAAATTTAATATTCCATAAAATCGGAAATTTAGATCAAATTTAACTTTTTGACTATCGAAAATCTTGATTTAAAAATTGCAAATATAACAATCTATATTGGTCATTTTAGATTCCCTAGCGAAGTATATTTCTGAAATACGAAAAATCGGAAGTGAATATTTGTTGAAATGTAACCAACACGCACGAAACAAAATTACTATTTAAAATTCCTACTGAAAATTTTGCAAATAAATAAAGGTAGGTGGTTATTGATTATGACAATCTCTTTTATATTTTCTTTGGACTAACTACTGAATAATAAATATAACCCTGCATAACTATAAGAAATTGATATTGAAGATTTAACCCCACTATTCGTTATGCCTGATCACATAGATGATATTACGATAGTTTGGAATTCTCTAATAAGATTGAATTTAATATGCATATTAAGTAACCGTTTTTAAAATTTGACCAATAAAGAATATACTATTTACAACAATGCATTAGGAAATATTAAAATTTTTAAAAGAAAATAAATGTGCGAAAAAAATGGCTAAATATCAATTGTTTTTTTTAACATGCATATTTAATTGAAAATTACAAACTTTACTTTCTCTTATCTATTTATTGAGTCTGAAAATCAATTAGATCAAGTGATTATGTGCTCTAGTCTTATTATTATTTTGCATTCGTTCTCCAAGTTGAAAATATTTTGTAGTAATACAAATTTTCATTCATTCCAATCTTATTACTATAAGGGAGGTTTGCTATTAAAATCGAGTTACGACCATAGTAAATCATATGATCCGTAACGTGATTATAATAGCTTACCTCCATATTCAGATCTCGAAATATACTACTTTTATGCATTTGATTTAAAAATAAAAATTCGAAACCTAACACTTTACAAAAAAAGCTACTTTGTTCATTACCTAATGTGTCAAATCAAAATACAAGCAAAATAATTAAATACGTTTGCCGTTGTTAAAACAAACATTAAATGTTTACTTCATTCCATTATACAATCATAATGACAATTAATAAAATATCCGATATTTGTCGAATATAATAAAACTACAATTATTTCGCCGATACCGATAGAATCATCTCACCCGACATGATCATTACGGCTACAAAAAAAAAATAATAAAAAAAAAAATAGGATTAAACATTTATTTATTTCATTAAAGTAGTTGGATTTATGATTTGGGCGGGGCGGAGTCCAAAAGGAGACAGTATTGTATGGATCAATGTCATTTTAATAAATGTTGCGATTTTCATCAATAAGTAAACTTGGTGAAATAATCTTGTCGGTGTATATTGATTGACTCTGTGAAAAGGACAGCGAAATGATTATCAAGAATTACCCAGAAATTGATTTTAAATTTTTTGACTAATTCCATTTGGTCAATTTTATAACCAAAAACTTCTTTTTCCTATTAATTTAAAATAGAAAGTAAATAAACTTGTATGCTTGCGAAAATATTTTAACAATAAGTGTATTATCAATATTAGTTTGTTTTTGCTTTAATGATTTATCTGCAATATCACTAATCCTATTGCGAAAAACATCAACATTTTCAACCTTTTAGTGGATCTTTATCCTAACATTTTTTCATTAAATTTATATCAGTTTAATTTTATTCTTTGAAGTCTTCTTTACTGGTGAAATATATATTCTGTCTTTTGAGGAAGTTTAAATTTTAAAAGAGCACTTCCTTTTTTAAAAAAATTTTATTCTTGGGGATTTATCACTTTTAACACACGTTAAAAGTAATCAATAAATTGCTTCTATTTAAAAATTCTCAATAGTGCTTTCGTCTTTTCAATATTAACCAACCTCTTGAACTTTTGAAAGGATTTGATAATGCATCATAAAAACCACTTTTATTTTAATTAAATATTAACCTTGGTGCAAATGTAAACAATTCACACCAAAAAATTAATTCATCGAATTCTATGAATAAGGCATTGTTACAATGAATATAATTTCGCCCGAAGACACTATAATTTTGTATGTAAATTGTTTTCGATATTTATTTGCAGTAGTTAGGATGCCAGGCTGTACTAATAATAATTTTTTTTTTTTATAAATACGAGCTGGAAATCCTTGAACAACTTAACATTACACGCTAGTCCTTCTTTAACATTTTAAATTTATATTTGTAATTTCGTTTATTTTTAATTCCCGATTTTCTTATTGACAAAGCGAAAGTGTAGAGCGTCGACGTTGAGGCAACACTGATTAATTTGATATTATTAAATAAATTTACGTCAACATTACTATTTTACTCAATAAAACCTTCCGCTTACATTTATAATTGTTTATAAATACATAAACGATAGAACATACCCTTAATCAGAAATAAATAGAAACATTGACATTTTGTAGGCGAAAGTATTTTTTAAACATCTTTTGTAAATAAATTTCTGCGATTCAAATAAGAGTTAGCTCTCAAATATTAGAATATGTATGAAATTCTTCTTTGATAATAACCAATTTTAAAAAAGTTTTAGTCAATCTAGAAAAAAAAAATTCGAAATGCATATGAAATGTATGCAGAATACAAATTTTCGATTTTTGTAAGAAATTTTGTTTAATATAAAGAAACACACTGTCCAAGATGAATGCTCCATTAAATGATGTAAGTTAACATAAATCGTATATACAATAAACGTCGGGTTATGATTTGTAATTTTAAATATTCTAAATTAAATTAAAATTTTCATAATAATTCACCCTTGATAAAATCTAAAAATCTTAATTCTTCATTGTTAAAAGTGCGTACATCCAAAATTTTACTTTCATAATAGGCCAGTTTTGCACGTACCAGTATTCCCATTGATAATCAAATCACTATTGCCAAAATTTAATGTCATATTAACATGACGCGATTCATACATCACATATTTACTGTCGCGAACGCTTATATTAAAATTTTCGAATCCCTAAAGAATTAATAAAACTTTCGGAAATATAGGCCCAATAATAATAACTGCCATAACATGGATGATTATAATTAGTTCTAGGATGGTTTCCCCAACCACAAGTATTATAACCACCAAATAATAGTGTTATCCTCATTTAACTTTAATAATCAAAATACAAGCTCTCATGTCCATCACAATTATTACCAATAGTATTGATATTGATAAATAAGATTGAAATTATATTTATAATCCTTTGGAATTTTTGCAAGAGGTTCCTTACTTTGAATCCAGTTAACAAGAATGACCGCATGTTTTGGTTTAATGATCATTGAATCAACGACAATCTTTCCATGACGAGGAACCAATTCTTGTTTAGGTTCAGTATGGGTCATATAAAATGACACAATATCTTCGAAAATTGCTTCAGGCAATACTTTCCTAAAAGACCAAATAATATTCAATAAATTGATACAAGGTATCTTTTAAAGCCAAAAATCCTTTTCGTCCAACACTTAGATTAGTCGCATCCTTTTCTCTCAATTTCGAAGTTTGAGCTATCCCCCATTTAATAAGAAAGTTCCATAATTCTACTTCATCAATTTTAAATCTTCTCCTTTAACTAATTCAAGTAGAATACTTTTTCCAATTTTAGGAATCTGGCGAATTAAAAAAATGTTCAGGATCTTCACAAATAATTTCTAAATAATATTGTGCAGTTGTTTACAGCTTTCCACAGAAGTAATATAAAATCAAGAATATCAGAGCCAGCTTGTTTTTTTAAATCAAGTATACTTGGATACATGTACCCTATAGAAAAAAAATTTTCATGCGTAAAATAATGACACCGTCTCAAACTACCGTATTAGGAATTTTACCAGACAATTATGTCAAAAAATAGAAGGAGTAATATTTTGTTTAATAAAGTAAATATTATCATCTTGTTTTGAAATCCAATTTTGCGAGAGAGCGAATTTAAAATTAGGTGATACTTCAAGATAACAGATTGTAAACGATAATCTTAATATTTGGACTTGCTCCAACTCTAAGAATGACATCATAATCGTTTACTATTAAGCAAGTGGGAAAAGTTTTGAGATAATCTAGAAAAGAAATTGAAAGACATTTAAAGAATTTCGCTTTAAACCATGTATTTGATCTTTGGATACAATGTTAAATTCATTTTTGTTTAAATTCAAATTTCATTTCAAAAAATGAGATTCAATTTTGATTCAATTATCGATTCCAATCCCTACTACAAAGTTAAGGATTAAATAAAATAATTATCTTATGTATTAGACTTTAGTAAAATATAATGTAAATTTATGAAAATGTATATATGACTTAATTTTATGAATCATATACATAATTATGAGTTTAATTCCGACAAATATTACTTTAAATTATTAAAAAATTATCAGCACTTCATTTACAAGAATTTTATAATAATCAATACTCGTTAAAAATGAATTACACTTTGCATATAAATACTTATATTAAATATATTGAAAACTTTTATTGTTTTTCTTTTTCTTTTTTAAAATAAAATAAATTTAATAAATTTTATATTAAGTATTATAAATCTAATATTTAAATTAGGTCAAAAACTATTCTAAGTTTATAATGTAATTAAAAAATAATAACTTATTTTAAGACAAAAATTTAGAAGCATCTTATAACCATAATCTACTAGGATCTCCCGCACTTATCATAATATAACCCACGTTTCTAAGTATAATCTTTATTAACAATATCATAAATCTCTTTTAATGTAAATCTGAAATTGCAGGAAAATTCAATGAGGTAGGAATTAAATCTTTTAACGTTTCATTGTTTAATAAGCCAATATTATCAAATTCAACGTATAACTCATCAAGGTCAAGAACCTGACTACCGGGAAATGAAGCAAAGGATAACGGCGTATCTTTGAAACCACCAACAGCTATGGTTCTAACGTTAAATTTTTCGCCATGCGTTGAGTCATCAATGAGCATGATGAACCACATAATCCATTTGTTATTATTATAATATCATCACTCTCCCATTTATATTTTTTAATGTTTCCCGCTAAAAATTTAATAAATAGACCAAATTCTTGTGTATATCTATCTACAAATTTTGATGTAAATGATGTAGGAGTTCCTCCTCTTACGTATGCATTATTACCAATAAATTCTTCTACGGTGAGAAAATGTTTATTTGTATTAGGATCTTTGTAACTGAAAATGTTGAAATAGGAAATTGGTACGATTATTTGAGCCACTATATTTGCAATCCATCTTACTAAATCCTTATTACCTAGCTCCGGTGGCAGCTCTAGGTTATTTAATTTATTTAATGCCTGTACAGCATTTGATTGTGATGTTGCTGCTTCAAAGGCCGCTCTTGACAATTCGCTAACCACCATATTGTTGTTGAATGATGGACTAGAATCCGGAAATAATAAGTAAACAAAGAATAATGTTGTAAATCCTCCTCCATTCTCCAGTACGAGCTATCAAGATACGCGAGGAAGGTAAAGAAGGATTAATTTAAAAGATTTGTTTTGACAAGTTAATTTTTAAATTAAATAATCACATACTTTTGTTACTCCTCTATCTTCTAATAATCCAATCCAGTTTGCAATTCAAACATTTGGCTTATAAAATCATTATCTGACGGTTCAAAAGTCGGAATGGCCACTACCCCTGTCTTCTTATCACTCAATACATAAAAAGTAGCTATCATTGTTTCATAAACTAATTCAATATCACTCATTAATATATTATAAATTTTTGACACAAACATTTTACTAAATTTATCAGATGGAATGGTTGGAACCTTCTTTATTAGACAAAATTCATTCCAAAATCTTCTGATGTATTAAACCTATCGTAATACCGTGCTCCAATCTTCCATTCTCTTATAAATTTAGTTTTTGCATCATTTGCACATACAGGAGAGTATTCTATTGATGATTTCTCTGGAAGTGATTCGTAATCTCTAAACGTGAATATTCTTGCAGAGAATTTTCTATCACCTCTCTCATTGTTTATTAATGTTGCTAGTGCTGTATTAAATCTTATTCCAGCATCTTTTGAAACATAAATCGTTGTATCCGCAAATTCTTTAGCTTTTGATAAATATACAAAAAATCAAGATAAAAGAAAAGAAACATTGACCAATGCATAACTACAACGCGATTTTAATTTTACATATGCTTTTGGCCACCTCCTCGTCGTAAGGAAATGATTCAAGGCATGCTTTCACATCGGAATATTTTGTGCTAAATTCTGGATTTTTATTAGATTTTTGATATTCAATAGCTACTCTCGCCAGTGTTGACCTTTTGGACTAATGGACTTAGTCCATTCCAATTCCATTAAAATTTGGACTATTGGACTATAGACTTCATAAATTTACATATAATTTTAGCAATATGTTCATGATATTTTGTTAGAATTTTATTAAATTTACTTATTATTACTTAATTTAAAATTTGACAAATAATTAGGTTCTCCTAAACTCTCAATATAAATATCTAGATTTCTATTTAGAATTTTGATCTCTAGCAGGAATGAGGTAAGTTTGAAATGTTTGTAATATTAATTTCAAGCTCACTGTCACCTGAAAAATCAAGGTCAAGTCAGTAGGATCGTTCTAGTTGAACGAATTTATTATCGATCGATCAAACAGAATCGTTCAAATTTTTAAGTTAGGCTAGCATTATAAATTTGGCCAGAATTATAGTATATAAAATTATAATTTGGCCAAAATTATATAATCATGGTCCTAATTGGAAATGGACTGGACATCTCCAAAGTCCATTAGTCCATTATTGGGAATTGGACAAGGTCCAATTCCAACACTGATCCTCGCACATGCATCTTCATTCTTGGTGTCAAGTGAAATAATAGTTGATAATGAAATTATCACGAAAACTATTGTGTGCAATAATAATAATTTCATTTTTATCGTTACTTTAATAGAATAAAAAAATTTGTGGAGATGATCAAAAAATCATTTAATTTATAGAATTTTCTTTTCCTTTATTTTTTATTTTAGTACTTTACAATTCCCCTATAAAAAAAAATTGTCCAGAAAATGTTATCGAAAATGTCCGGGTGCATGTGGAAAATGTCCGGAAAATGTCAAAATCGTCCGGAAAATGTACCAAAACATGGTGGATTTCGGACATCGCGTGATGTCTTGATATTGTCCGGAATTTATACCGAAACATGGTGGATTTCGGACATTATCTGGATACTACGGCAAATTCTGGACAATTTCCAGAATTTTTTTTTTATAGGTTCAGGCTCTGTTAAAAGCCATGAGTGGTTAGAAAAAACAAAGTATAATCATGGACACGTCCTTTCAACTTTGAAATGAGACTAAAAAAAAATGTTCTGCGCAGCGAGCAACTTCTATACGGGCCGTAAATAAATTATAAATTTTTCCCAAAGCAAGCCTACTATCTGATAAGCCATGCTTCCATATCCCAGCCACTTTTGGCTTTTCAAAAGTTATATAGCTTGAATATGTTAATCCATAATTATCATAAATCGATTTCGTCATAAGTAGTTTTAAAATTGTCATAGAATAAAACATTTTGCATATCGAGTAACTGAGCTATCCCTCTATTATCGAAATTGTTATTCTTTCAAATGAAATTATTTAATATATGCACATTTCCGTATTTAAATAATCCGAATATTTGTGATCCTTCACAATAAAATTCTTTGTCATATTGGAAAATGAACGCTTTTTCACATTGAAAATATCAATTTGTTGAATTTCTCCATTAACTTCATAAACTTTCCATACTCTTCAAGTTACTTACTTTCTAAACTTTATTATTAAAATTTTGATAATTTAGATTGTTAATGATGGATAATCTTTAAAAACCTTTCAGTACATTATAAAAGCTAATTCTTTATTATAAAGTACTGGGAAGCCTGAGCGTATTCAATAATCTATCTACACAATGAACCAACCAAAAAGAGGAACCTAAAAGGCGCAAAATGTGAAAAAAAAAAAAAAAAGAAATCGACCGATCGCTGCGCCCGAAACGATCGAAGCCGGAAGTTAAAATAAACAAAAGGACAATAAAACTCGAAATAATTGCTGTGGCCCGCAGCGATCCAAAATTTTACCTTAGCATATTTAAATATCCAACCAGAAAGAAATTATTTTAAATGATCAAACCTAGCAAAAAAAATAGTCAATAAAATAATTAAATGAATAAATGTAATCAAAAAAAATCCTTCGCCTACAATTTTTGTTATGTAAGCAAAAAAAGAACTTTTATTCATGTGCAATATCCTATGCATTTCTAAATTTTCACTTTGTGTAACTCTATTGCTTTATGAATTTTTTTATTTTGTTATTTAACAAAAAAAAAAAATAAAATAAAAGACTTTGAGCTCCCTGTTTATTGTCTAAGTGAATATTTTGAAAGTGAGTTTTTACGTTAGAAGCTTCGGTTCGAATTTTATGGAGAGAAATGCAAAAATTTTAATTTCTTTTCCTATTAAAACAATAGCAACTATATATCTCTTTTAATTAAATATTGTTTATCAAAGGTCTTTTGATTAATGAAATCGGTTATATGTATTACTTATCCCCTGCCATTTATACATTAATATTATTGTCGACGCAAACAAAAGTATTAATACACAATACATTTTTGGAAAAATCACATGTAACGAATAGAATGATGTGGTGGGTTTAATTGTGACGCAAATGACTGCGCCATGAATACAATCAGTGCTGCGTCAATTGACACATGTATCGCGATTACTACCTTTGTATCGTGTTCTGTAGTTACCTTTATCATATTTATCAAATTATTAAGAGTGATGTTGGTTTGATAACTGTAAACAAAAACGATTTACTTTTAATTCAATATGTCAAATTGAATACAAACTTTATCACAATCACGCCTATATGAAGACACGACAAAAAGGTAATAGCAAATTAATTGATAATATTCTTTTATTAACTCTTGGTTTATCCTAAAGCCTTATCTTGAGTTACCTTTCAACTCAATGGAAAATACAAGATAAAATAAAATACTATGAAATAAATTATAATAAATACAATATAAACGATAATAATAAATATAATAACACTACTAAATTAACTATAACTAACAAATATAACGAATATAAATAATATATTAAATATATAAAATGTGACCAATCTGTCATATCGGTCCACAGTCAAATTTGCATAATCATTTTCAATCCCGTGACTGGCCGCAGTCACAGTTTACGACTTCATTGAGAAAATGAAATTATTGAAATGAATTTTTAATGATGTGCAACGCTAAAAATTAAAATTGAAGTGTCTGCGAATGCCGTCAAAATTAAAAAAGTGAAAACTCACTATATATGTCACAACATTGTTGCATACCTTAATGTTGTTTCATTTACTAAATTTACTTTATATTTCCTATGATCGAAGTAATTAGGCGAAGTAGCCACTTGGTCGGACGCAGTCGGTACAAAATTTATCTGGTTAAATATAATAAATAAATTAAAATTGACAATCATGGTCATTTTAACACTCTATTGCCTACAATGATCAATAAAATTTTGTTTATTCTTCGTTATAGCAGGATCATACTAAGCGTACCATCACGTTGTAATGATTCAGTTAAAAATCTGGAGTATTAAACTAATTAGAATGTTGGTAGCATCACCAATATGCAGGAATTTATCTAATGAAAATAATGAAAATAGTTCAGCCTTGCAAGGAGAATCTGAAAATCAAACTAGCAAATGGCAAGAATGGCACTACTCATCGAGACATTCATCAAAATAAACATCATCTAAAACAACCACGAACAAGATATTTTGCAAGACTTACTATAAGAATAATCGAGAATCTTCCGTGAATAATTATTTGTCTGAAGAGGAATCTGTGCAAGAAGAGAGATGAAGGTTACTAACGCAACTTTCACTACTTTTAACATTTCGCAAAGTAGATTCTACATCTAAGCCGAGACTCACATCTAAAAATAAAACAAAGTTAGTCTCTTTCAAACAAACGAAAAGAACAATTGCATCCCACCGCAAGTGACAATCCCAGAAGGTAGAGGAATTAATTATAAATCCAAAGTATATTATGATATGATGAAACACTTTTTCGGAGCGCTTACCAAGGATAATTTGTGCAAAGGCTCAAGGTATTTACAGGCAATTATGGAGGATTTAATGGATAAATCAAACGAGCTATATTATCATCGTGCAAATGCCATTAGCGCCAAGATTATTTTGATCACGTGTGAGATTCGTCCCGGGTATAATTTTTTTTTTTTTTTATCTAATATAAGCATTTACTCGTTATCAGTTATGGAAAAATCAACGCAAGGCCGGATATAAATTGCATACAACCAGACAATTTTTCACTTGGGCTTCATTTCAAATATTTTACTTTATTGCTTAACTTAAGGATCTCCGACACTCGACACAAATATTACCATTTTAGGTCAATGAACTATAATTTTATTTTTCATGATTTTTTAAGACATCCACAAACATTTAATCAAATAGAAACACTATTTCAATTTGTTAAAATATATCATTGTATCGCGGTTACGAGCCAATTCATTGAAATTTATTTTATATTTATGTATCAATAAAAAATAAATTTACGATATCAGTTTTGTTTTTATGAAATGAGGATAATTGTAAAAATAATGCAAGCGAGGTGAGTATAAAGGTTAACTTCATGATAATTAGCCGAACTTTGAATAAAAATGCGTTAGGAAAAGTTAATTATTAATATACAAGATGAAATATTGATTTGCTTTGCTTAATAAATTTTGTGTAAGATTACCAGGTAAAGGCAGAATGCTGAACTTAAAGCTGAAGTAAAATTAAAGTACGATTTTGAACAAATAAAGAGGCATTCACAAGCCATTATCAATGCAATTTCTATAAAAAGTTTCCGATTTGTTCATCATTTCATATATCAATTTATCACGCACAGCACATCGAATAAAATTTTTAATGTTATTAAAAAAAAAATCAATTATTGGTCGTTAACAATTAATGGCGCAAATATTTTGATGGTTTAATTTGTCCAATATCCAAATAAAAAAAATAAGTGAATTAAAATTTCATGTGAAGTAATTAAGAAAATATTCATTTGGTTCTACTATATTTGAATGTTTTGGTAAGTCGTTCAAAATTACGTGCACATATCCTAATAATTAAAATATTATTTAAATATTTAAAAATAATCCTTTATTATATTGATGTGCCAAATTTATGCATAAATACTCATTGAAATGGGCATTGAAAATCCTAATAAATATTATTTTATCAAATCATAATTTTACGGCGTTTAAAATAACCTATTGACTCGAACTTTATAATTCCATAAAAGCAGATCGAACTAAATTATGAATTTAAATTGTGTAAAAGAAATAAATAATAACTCCTATTAAAAGTGACGATGTTATTACCATTTTCTTTAAAGCTTCTTCAAATTCATCCTTAAATTTTAAAACAAACGACTTCCAGATAGCTACATCAATACAAGTATTTAATAATTCTTAAATTTTTTTCATTAATGTATTAATTAAACAATATCATTTACATCATTTTTTCAGCTTTATGATCCTGTTCTACTACAATTTTAATCGGTCACTAATTGGAAAATACATTAGCAATGAAAATAATTTCAATTGCAAGTGATAAATTTATTCTTGAATTTGATTTCCTAAATGTAATTTTTTATGACACGTGACATTACATTTGATCTACGCCAAAGTGTAGTGTAACATTTTAATGGTTTTCTATACTATATTAAGGCGTTACAATAACGACAAAGATAAACATTAGTTAGTATTTGACAGTTGCACCTAAGACAAAATATTCGCTGAAATTTATATGTAAAATGTTAGAGCCAATTTCTGATGAGTCGTCTGTATTGGAAATATTAGAAGGTAATACCGCGTTTTACATAATTAATAATACAAACTCGTTAATTATGCTCAATTTTTATTCGTCAAAATTTGAAATATTAGATGGTGAGAAATTTTACATGTTATCTTAATACTAGATTTTTGCTATGCTTTTTAATAAATTAAAAATTATTTCTTAAAAAAAATATTATGATAGAGCTCGTTTCAGATGTTTCTGATGCGCCTACGTTAGATGAATTAAATGGTAATAAAAATTTAAAAATTTATTAAGTTAATCTAAAATTTATAATAATTAATTCTTAATTTTTAATTTTAAAAATGGCCGATGCGGTTATACCAGAATGTAAGTAATTTCAAGTTCATATCTTTTAACATAACCAATATAAATTCAACTAAATATTTATTTAATAATATAGGGAGTAATTTATATTAATACTATTTATATTTAATTTAATTTAAGCTTAAACTTATTTTTTCTAATTATAACTATTTATTAATATCTTAGTCAGTAAGTTATTTTATTTTAATCATATTATATATTTTAAATTCAACGTTATTTATATACAAATTATATCTTATAGATGGTAAGTTATTTTATTAATTAACAATAATATAAGACAATTCTTTGTAATATTTACTTTTAATGAAATATTATTTTAACTAATTTTTTCTTATAAAAAATACTAGAAAGTAGGTTATTTTATTAATTATCTATATTTTATTATAATTTAAGCTTCATTAATTAAAAAAATAATTTCAATGATTTAGATAGTAAGTATTTTATTAATTATTTATGTTTAATACATTTTAATAGAATTTAAAAAATATATTAACTTAAAAAATTTAATAATTTAGATAGTAAGATTATTTATTTTAATTTATAAATTTTATATATATTTAAAAATTTTATTAATAAAAATATTTAATGTTTTATATTATAGCTGGTAAGTAATATTTATTAATATATTGATAATTTATATTTAATTAATTATTATAAGTAATAAATATTTTATTTTAAATATCAAAATATTTTAGATTGTAAGTTATTTTTAATAATTATTCTATTTCTATAATTTATATTTAACTAAATTTTTATTTAAAAAACATTTAATAAATTAGTTGGTAAGTTTATTGATTATTAATATTTAAACTTTTTACAATAATTTAAATTAATCTAAAAAAAATATATTTAAAAATATAGAAGGAAAGTTATCAATATTAATTATCAATAACAAATTATTTTTTTAACTAAACTTTAAATTATACTAAAATTTTTAATTATTAATAGATTGTAAGTTATTATTATTGCTTCTTTAATTTAATAAAACTTTTTATTTATTACAAATAATTTAATTATATTTTATTTTAATATAATATTAAAAATTGTAGCTGGTAAGATATTTCAATTTATTATAACTTAAACAATTTAACTTAACTAAAATTTTATTATTAATATAGATTGTAAGGAATTTTTATTGATTATTAATATTTTTAATTATAATTTTTATTATAATTCAAATTTAACAAATTTTATTTATTTATTTAGTTCGTAAGTTATTATTTTTAATTATATTTATGCTAAATCAAATTTAATTAAACTCTTATTTTTTTTAAAAAAAATATATTAAATATTTAGATAGTAAGTTATATTATTTATACTTAAATATATTATTTTATTATAATTTAATTTAAATTTAATTATGTGTATTTAACAATTAGCTTGTAAGTTAAATTTTTATAAATATTATAAATATATATTAATAATTTATAAATATAATTATAATAGGGAGTAAGTTATTTTATTTATTATTTATAGTTAATATTATTTTTTTAATTTAATATTGATTAAATTTTTTATTTAATAACTTAGATGGTATATCTTTTATTAATTAATTATTTTAATTATATATTTTTATTATAATTAACTAAATTAAATTTTTTTAAAAAATATTATAATTTAAGCTGGTAAATTAAGTTTTATTTCTATTTTAATTATAAATTTAAATTAATTATATTTTATTTAAAAATAATTTAATAATTTAGATTGTAAGATATTTTATTAATTATTTATATTTAATTATAATTATAATTTTATTTAAAATAATTTTATATAAAATATTTAGTGGGTAAATTATTTCGTTATTAAAATACTTTTTACTATATTTAATTAATTTAATGTTAAAATATTTAATAATTTAGATAGTAAGTTTTTGTATTTATATTTACATTTTTAATATAAATTAATTAAAATTTTATTTAAAAAAATTTAATAATTTAGATTGTAAGTTATTTTATTAATTATATATATTTAATTAAATTTTATATTATAATTTAAATTTAACAAAATTTTTATTTAAAAATTATTTATTATAATAGTAGGTAAGATATATATATTAATTATTAAAATTTAATTATACATTATTATTTTTATTAAATATATATATTTAATTATAATTTATTAATTTGAAAAAATTTTTAATATTTTAGAAAGTAAGTTAATTTATTGATTATTTATTTAATTATATTTTTATTTAAGATAATTATTACTAATTTTTTTATTTAAAAAAAAAAAATATTTAATAATTTAGGAAGTAAGTTATTTTTTATTAAATATTTATATTAATTATACTTTATACTATAATTTAAAATTTATTTAACTTTTAATTTAAAAATAATTTTTAATATTTTAGAAAGTAAAGTTAATTTATTAATTATTTATTTTTAATTATACTTTACTAAAATTTTTACTAATTTTTTTTTTTATAATAATATTTATTATATATTTAATTATAATTTTTATTTAATAATTCTTAATTATAAAATTTATTTATGTTATAGTGAAAAGTAAGTTATTTAATTTATTATCTTATATTTGATTTACTTTACTAATATTTATATTTAAATCATTAGATTGTAAGTTATATTTATAAATAATATATATTTAATTACTTTTTTAAAATTAAATAAATTTTTTATAATTTAGATGGTAAGATATAACTATTAATTATCTATATTTAATTATACTAAAAAAATAATTAAATATATAATAAATCTATTAAATTTAGTAAATATTTTATTTTTTTTTTCATTTTATATTATAATAATTATAATAATATTAATAAAATAAATTATAATTAGAATATAGGAATTTGTTCAAATTGTAATAAAAATAATACTGGATCTAATTGGTGTATAAATTGTTATTCTAAATTTTTTCAACAAAATTTTTCTAATTGGTCTAGTGGAAATGAATTTATTAATGAATTTATACAAAATACTCAACTAAAAGCTCAAAATAAAAAATAAGTATTAGAATGGATTCCTTATAACAAATTTGAAAATGTTGAATATCATGATAAAGGAGGATTTAGTACTATATATAAAGCTAATTGGTTAGATGGTTATATTTTATATTATTCTTATGATAAAAAAGACTGGAAAAGATATAGTAAAGTTAATATAATTCTAAAAAGTCTTAATAATTCATCAAATTTAAATAAAGAATTATTTAATGAGGTATGTAATTAATAGTTATTTTTAATATTAAATATATTAAATAATTAATTTTAGATAAATTTGATTATTTTAGTAGAAATATCATTATAAATGTTATAGTAAATTAAAAAAATATTCAAGCAACTCTCTTATTCAATTATTTGGATTTACTCAAGATCCAAATACTTTAAATTATATGGCTATTATGGATTATGCATCAAATAGTAGTTTAAAAAATAATTTATCAAATATAATTAAAGATAAATGGATTATTAAATTATTAAAATTATATAATATTATAAGTGGACTTGATGAAATACATGAAAATAATCTTATTCACTGTGATTTTCATCACGGTAATATTTTAAATATTAAAGGAAATGTTTTATCTATTAGTGATTTAGGGTTATGTAAACCTGTAAATTATGTTCAATCATCTGAAGAAAATGATATTTATGGTGTTATATCATTTATAGCACCTGAAGTTTTAAGAGGTCAATCTTATACTAAAGCTAGTGATATATATAGTTTTTCTATGATTATGTGGGAATTTATATCTGGAATCCTCCATATAATAATGAATTTGATGATATTCAGCTTAGTATAAATATTTGTAAAGGCAAACGTCCTAAAATTATCAAAGATACTCCACAATGTTATATAAATTTAATACAACAATGTTGGGATAAAGATCCATTAAATAGACCAACTGCATTAAAAATTAAAAAAATTATTAAAAAATGGTATAAAATTATTAAAGATGAAAATTATGATAAAGAATTAACAAATGATATTATAGAATTTTATAAAGCAGATAAAGCTTTAAAACAGAAACAAAATATTGATAAAAAAATTATTAAATTACATACACAATCATTTCATACAAGCAGAATTATAAATGATACTATAAAGTTGAATGAAATTTTGAATCAAGAAAAAAATGTAAAATTATTACCTTCTAAAAGTGAAGGATTAGATTATATAGTTACTGATACTAGTTAAAATTAATTTTATTATAAAATTGATGAAATTTTGATTTTTTTTTTTACAAAAATATATTGATATATATTATTATTTAATGAGCACTATAGAAACAGTTTGTAATCATTAAATAAATATTTCTATATAAATTAAATTTTATTTTTATTGATAATTATTTGAAAAAATTGCATTTATTATCTTTAGATGTATCAAAAATAATTAATTTTTAAATATCGTCCCTAGGAAAAGTGTTTATGATTGGAACTATACCGGATCCTGGCAGATTCCCTCATCATTAAGGTTTTCAGATCACTATCCAAATGCAGCAATTAATTCATCCAATCATCCAATAGTAATTCTCGGGTAATGAGTTTTTAACGAGCAATTACGGCTCTCGACTGGTGAAGTTTAGATTGTTTATTCATTTTACATGCAACTCAGTATTATCACTGGCCGTTAGATATATGGAAGATCGGTGTTGTAAGTTCCTTTAAACATTTCTTTGACTCTTATCTTGAATTACATATTTATAATTATCCGCAGATTTCTCAGTAGTTAGATTTATATTATATATGAGATTACGATCTTCTCGTAATAGTTAGGAGAAATTGTAACTGGGATAAGAGAAGGGAAATGTGCTGAAAAAAAACACCTAGATTTCGAAAGTACCGTCGAAATACAGTAATATTGTCCATTTTTAAAAAGTTATTTTTAGAAATATTTGTCATATGATGGGATTGTGAGATTTTGTTAATCCGTCCGTTCATCCGAAACGACTTCAGTTGGTGTCATTG